AATGAATATAAATATGTGTGTGGTATGGAAATGCTTATAACGTATAGCATAATATATATACTTATAAGAAAGGAACGCTTCCCAGAATCTAATAAAATATAAGAGTCTGTCCAGTTTATGCTATCATGTTGTACTCCTATCTTGATAACAAGAGAAAACAACTGAAGCAACTCCTAATTATTAGCTTCCTGTGATCGTGTTCTGTTTTTATCCACAGAAGTCCTGAGGTCTCTGCTTATCTTTGTAGTGAAACTGAAACATCAGCACCACGTATGAATCTTACCAATACAGATCAATCCGGTAGAGCTGAGTTTGCTGCCAGGAGAACATTCACAATTGAAAGATCCAAGGTTGTTCCTGCAGGCCCCATTGACACATGGATTGCTTTCACATTCATTTATATCTACAATCCAGAAGGAAAAGATTCTGTTAGAGCTGCCATGTGTTTCTGGAAAATATTATTCCAACAAGCCACGCTATGCCAGAATGTCTGGTAAACTTGGCTCTTGTAATTTTAATATGGTTCTATGAGGCATAAAGTGAATGGGGAAAGGAGAAGTGCATTTTACCGTGTGAATACACATGTGCACGGCTGGGGACTCAGTAGGACTATAGGAATCAGCCTATTTTGAAAGGGTTTAGCATCTAAAGCTTCACTGTTTCACTACAACATTACATAAATTGGATTCATTTTCTCCTATAATGAGATGTAATTTTCCTGTGGGAAATGTGAATTCTGATTCCATGGAAAGCAACATATTCCTGGGTGCAATGTGTGCTGTGCACAAAAGTGACTGTTTCTGTCACTTGTGGCTCCAAGAGGTTTTGGAAGAATTTAAAAAGCCTGTAGTAGAGACAACATATCACAATGCTGGCTTTAATTCCAAATTTCTGGATACAAATCAGGGAATAAGGGATGAAACTTTAATACTGGGTACAGCATTCTCCTCTAGCCCTTATCCACCTTCCCGTTCACATTTCCATGTTTGGCGTGAGACATTTTTGCGGGCCTCTCACTGTTGTGGCCTCTCCTGTTGCGGAGCACAGGCTCCGGACACGCAGGCTCAGTGGCCATGGCTCACGGGCCCAGCCGCTCCGTGGCATGTGGGATCTTCCCAGGCCGGGGCACGAACCCGCGTCCCCTGCATCAGCAGGCGGACTCTCAACCACAGCACCACCAGGGAAGCCCCCTGGTGTGAGACATTGTTAAAGCACAACTGATTGTGCTAAAATTAAAAAGAGAAAAAAATCTTTTAATTGTTTTAAATAGACCTTTACCATCATTAATTTGATCTGAGTCCTAAATCAAATCATATACCATAATCTAAACAACTCCTGTTGATGGTCAGAAGTATGACGGTCAGAATTAGAGTATGCCTATGTTCTCAAGTGGTGACTAAACAAAATGTCAAGCCAATAAAGTTAAATAGCTTAACATGAGTTAATTAAAAATAAATACAAGATTTAGCTAAAGTGTTTAGAAACAATATCAAAGACTGACCTTCAATATAAATTAAACCACTCAATTTAAGGAAGAGAGACATGGATTTCTTTCTGTATTTGGTTAACTATCTGAAACAGGTCAACATACCTCAAGATTTTTTTTGTTGAACACTACAGTTTCCGAGTTCACCATAATACTTATTTTTTTCTAAACACCTCTTTGAATTAAACATGAATACTATATATACCAAGGAAAACATGCAAATAAATAACTAGAAGATTGTAATGTTTACTCTTGAACATCTCAAGTCAAATACAAACTAAACTCGTTCTGAAAAGGCAGGGATCGCTGATTTTCAAGTCTATGGACTTGAAATGCAAATTTAAAAATCCATGTGGAAAACAGTTATGTTCCTTCTTTGCTATTTCAAAACTACTAAAGAAGTACCCAGGTATTAAATGAATTCTTCAAGTAGAAATTGTGTGAAGAAATATAAATGCATCTTTCTTTCAGGTCATTTGTAGCAAGAAGGCCTCTTAAAAGAAAAATACAAGAGCAGGTTTTATAAATATAGCACAGATTTGGAATGAAAACATCTATTCCAGAGTACTAAAATTCTTTCAATAAAAACACAATGTAAAAAAGAAATCAGCCAAAAAAGCAGCAGATACCTAATCTGAAGACAGATGATATATTACCTACTAATCTTATTTGTAAGAAGCTCCCCCAAAAGAAAAATGTCAGTATCATATACTTTCAAAATCCCTATTTTATATTAAGCAATTATGAACTCAAAAACTATAAACACATGCCATGACAGCTACAAATATAAACTGTTTAATTTTTCTTTAAATACAATGTTTTTATGTTATAAATGTCATGGAACCAGGAACTGAAACAGTTCACTGTACATTCCTGGAAATAAACTTCAAAGCACATCTGGTTTACATTTAACTAGTTATGTCACTGGAAACACAATCTAAACCACAGTGCTTGCTATAAAAATTTTAACTTTCACAGACTCTCAGAGCTCAAACAAAAAAAGTAAAATAAATTTTCGTAACTTCAGTTTGAAATATCAGAGAAACTTGATCACTGCTATTTATTACGTATTTAAAATAGCCTGTTGAAAACATGAATGACAAGCAAAATTAGTGAATCTAGCAAATATATATAGAGAAAGCTAGAATCGGCAATGAATTGGCTGATAATTCCCTGCCTAGTCTTTGGAAATTAGTTGAGAAAGAATAGCATGCAGAGAACTGCTTCAGGCAGACAAATTTATTGTGTGAATGCAAGGCTGGAAATAAGGAGGACACCCAAGGGAAAAAGATATCCGTGGCCTGCAGGTCTATTTCTTTTTTGCAAAACACTTAATAAAATGCAAATAACTTAATAGTCGGAAGAAAGTGTAGAAATAACAGTTATTTGGTTGGATTTCTCACCATAAATCAATTTTATTTCCACAAATGTCATAAGGCTAATTATGACAAAATATTTCTCAAATATTTCTCTTTTATTTACATAATATAAACTTCTTTCTTATAAACGACAGATAATAAAACATATTTCGTATTAAAGAAAAGGCTCAGGTTTATCAGGAACAATTATCCTTTAGACAAAATAAGTAAAGACCATGTTTTCTAACCATCACTGTTGCCTGATTTGGTATTAATATGCCTTAGTATTTATGTAATCATCCAATGTCATACTAGTAAACACCATTACCTCCTACTCTTCACTTTTTTACGTAAGTAGGAGAATCCCTTTTATTTATGCTTTGGTATTTCACCTCTCAGTACCCTTCAACTTCATCTTACTCGTTAAAATGGAAGAAACATGCTATAAATATTGATGATTTGGTATGCAAACCAAAGTGACCAAACTGAATCAGACACCATTCATTTAGTTCCCCGTTATGTGTCTCCCTCACAATAGCACCAAAGGGTTCTGTCGCTATGGACAGGGAAACCAGTCCTAATAATCATCAGCTTCCCAGTTAAATCAAGATGATATCCTTAGCTATTCTTGCTTTCAGAGCTTCCTGACATTTAACAGAAGCTTATCTTCCAAGAGACAATAGATAAAACTGATAAAGGGCAGTGAGAAGGAAGCGTAGAAAGTCGGGAATAAAAACAAAATGGAAAGAAAGACAATTCTTGAAATCCCTTCTCCCACCCTCCAAAAAACTCATGGAGGAAATATGGCTAGAATTTTTTTTCTTTTACAAAGTTTCTCATGGCAATTTTGAAGGATAAGAGGTGTTGAGGGGGGTGGGTGCTAGAAAATAAAGACTCTGGTTGAATACATTTAAGAAGCTTAGGCTAAACACATATTATGTGAAAATATTCAACATTCTTAAGTGTGACCCCTGCCATCTCCGCTCATCTATGGACAGGATGAATCTTCAAGTACTTTAGTTGGGAATGGAAAGTGCGCTTTTCTTTGAGCAGCTCCTGCCACAGGTGGTGGATAGGAGGGGAACTCAACAGTTATCAGAACTAAGTTCAGAAAAACTGCATTTTATGCCGAGGTTTTCTTTTTTCTTCCCTTTTTTTCTTTCTTCAGGTTAATTACTGCTTTTCAGTGGTCCCTCAGATTCAATCCAAACTGAGAATTGCACTTTGTGATTGCATTTCATTGACTTCAGCTAAGTCCTTTGTGTTCTGGCATCTTGTTTGAGTCCTAACTTGTTTCTGTTCATAAGAATGCTTTGAAGTTAAACAATAAGATGAAGAGAATGTTAACATCTTTTTGCATAATATTACTATTGCAGTTTTCTTGGCTATGAAGTCACTAGGAAACAAATACTTTAACAGATAAAAAAGGGCTACTCCAAATAACTAAAGATGAAATTTTTTTTGAAAAGGTTACTATTCGGAAGTAGTTATTGGATTTCAGAATGTCATGGGACACGTCTGTAGGCCCACACTATGAGACTTAAAAGGAACAATGACTAGTAGTCATACCACAGAGTATTCTGAAATACACAGTACTTTGATCAAGAAACAAAAACATAATTGAAGGCACTCATTGCTTAGCTGGTATCTACTGAAAATGAGGCCTTTCCTAAGCATTTAACTCATTCATGTAACTTCCACTGAAGAAAAATGCGCTTAAAAGAAAAGGAAGACATTTTTAAACAGTGATTCACGATCTTTAAGCCCAAATTATAACTTCAAAATTTTCAAATGCAAAGGACAATTTTCTTGGACTATAAATTTAATTAAGGTGACCATTTTTACTCAAGTCCCAAATATTTTCTGGGCCAACCTCTGAGGTCTATCAATCATTTCATAAATAAAATGCCAAAGAGCTGACTTTGCCATTACAGTGCAGGTTCCCCCAGGCTAATGTGTCACAGTGGTTTTAAAAAGGGAAAAACAAACAAAAATCTGACATTTTATTAGCAAGTAAAACAAATTGGTTCCTTTCACTTTTTTTTCCCATTAAATTCAAAATGGTTGTTGATATTTCATCTGAATGGGACAAAACTGATGGTTTTATAAACTGGGTTAGGTGCATGCTATTTCTAAAACTGGCAGATTAGCTGAAAGAGATTATAAAATTTAAAACATATTCAAACAACATTCTTTCTGCTCTATTGCTTCATAACGTACTTGTGGTTCACGCATATTGAGGTGCTTACTGTTCACAACGAAGGAAGATGGCTCTTACCTTCACACGTCTCTGTCTCAGTCCTGAACACATAGCCAGGTGGGCAGGTGCAGCTGTAGCTCCCAGGTGTGTTTCGGCATAGGCCATTGTCACAGAGCAGTCTGTTTACCAGGCACTCATCAATGTCTGGAAGCAACCGTCAGAAGACAGGAGACACACACAGTGAAACAAACAGCACAGTGATCAAAATGTTTTATTTTTGTTGTTTGTTTTTTTCCTCACCCCATACCTTGACTCAGTCTCTTCGTATCCAAAGCACATTCCTGATCCTAAGCAAAATATATTTGGTTTTACTCATATGGAACATTCTTATTCTTGTGGCTACTTTTAAGATGCTTTTGAAGTTCCTGGGAGGTGTGTAATGCTTTGGAAAAGGCACATTACTACTTTGTTCTTCATTTACTTACTGCCCCACAGCAGTATTACATTTTAAGCATCACCATAATCTCCCTCATGATTGTACATTTTATCAAGTGGCTGAATCACTATTTATTTATCCATTAGTCCATGCTACGGGTTGAAATGGGTCTCTCAAAAAATATTTTGAATCCCTAACCCACAGTACCTCAGAATGTGACCTTATTTAGAAATAGGATTGTTATAGAGTAATCAAGTTAAAATAAGATCCTTCAGGTAGGTTGTATTCCAATATAGGTATGGACACCAACGACTGGAGTCCATATGAAAAAGGGCAAATTTTGACATAGGGACAGACACATACAGAGGGAAGCTGATGTGAAGACACACAGGGGAAAGATGGATGTGTGGCTAGAGTGACACATCTAAAAGCCTAGGAACGCTAAAGATTGCCAGCAAACACCAGAGACTAGAAGAGGAAAGGAAAGATTCTCCCCTAGAGCCATTAGAGAGAGTGTGGTCCTGCTGACACCTTGATTTTGGACTTCTGACTTCCCAAACTGTAACAATCAATTTCCGTTGTTTTAAGCAACCCCATTTTGTGTACTTTGTTAGGGCAGCCCCAGAAAACTAAAACTGGAATTTGGCTTCATTTTTATTTTTAAAATCTAGTTTTAATTTTATCAAAATTATGCATGTACCTACTTTAAAGAGTTGAGTAGTGCCATGAACCATGTTCAATGTGTGAATGATCACTGAATCTCCCTGTTTTCAGTAGGGTACTCATGTGCTCAACTGTACTTGGACACTATGCTGGAAGAAACTTTGCTTCTGGGGAATAAAAACTGGCTGGTTTGCATATTTTTATAAATGTTCAACAATCTCTGGCTGGTGCCCTTCCCAACAGATATCAAAATCTGTTATAAGTACATGATATTTAATATAGCTTTATATATCCATCTGTATGTATGTCTTCAACCCAAGGTGAAATGGATATATAATAACATAAATCAGTAATAAAACCCAGAGCCATAAACATAGAAAAATGTATTTCTTTCTAATCATAATCATCAAGACTTGGATGTAAGAGTGATCAGTGGTTAGATGTAAAAATTATTATATATAATAATGGATGGAATAACATTTGTTTTATAAAAGTGAACTCAAGTGCTCCACAGGAAAATCTAGATTCTTCACAAATTCTTGAACATACGAACTACATACTTGAGTTTTTTCAAACATTCCCTTATAAATTGCAAAAGGAAACACCCATCTCAGTAATCATGTTTGGACATGTTGCAGCAACTGATTCTTATAAGTCAACCTGTAATATTTAATTTTCTTAGCTTATTATTATCCACACCACCTCATTAACTTTTGAATCCCACTTTCTAGTGAAAAATTATAGGATTAAGATATATGCAGGTATAACAGGCCGATAACTGACACTGTGTCCATTCACTTGGGAAAAAAATAATTTAAATACTAAATTGTGCCACTAAAAAGTTTGTTACTATGTAACAGCATTTGTTTGATTCCCATATTTTTATATCTCTGCACTAAAAAGGAAACAAGAAAAACTGAAGAAAGATCTCTAGTTTTACTCATTTATTTGTAGTTTGATTTCTCCTATAATCCATGGGATTAAACTATACAAAAGGCTCTTGTATAATAAAACAAATAACTTACCAATACAGTTTCTTCCAGAGGCATCTGGCTCATAGCCACTGTTGCAATTACAACGGTAACTACCACGTAAATTTTCACAAATTCCATTGGCACATATATCAGGATCCAGAGCACACTCATTGATATCTGCATTAAATGTTCAAAGTTTAATGCTCACAGCCACTTACTGTCTGTTGATACACGTATGTCTAGTAAAGATCATTCAAAATACATAGTCTCTAACCCTGCAAACCCCCAATTTGTCTGCCGTTCAGAAAGGGAAAGGAAATGAAAATAAGGAGTGAGAATAAAATTTAGAGATATGGGACACTTCCTGGTAAGTCAAAAGAAAAATGAAGGGAACCGGCAGAAATTCAAAGCATTAAGCCATGTAATGTGCTGGCATTTATGATAAAATTAATAAAGAAATTTATAGACTGTTGGCTCAAAACCCAAAGGAAAACTCAACTTGATAGGTATTATAACCATCTAATTAAAAGACAAAGATTTATTAGGGTGTCTGTATAATTTTATGGTCCTGAAGGCCTGGAATATTTCTATTTTATTATCATTTTTTATAGCCAACTAAGTAATATGATACTTATTAAATGTTACTCATTGTTGATAAGTTGAAATTAATGGAGAGGACAGTTCAAATGTGGATGCTTGAGAACACAATGTTTTACAACAAGGCATGAACATGACTACGCTCTGTCACCCGTGGGCCGTGGGACTTGAGGAATGATGTGCTTGTATGAGCAACCATCTAGTTGCAATGGGCAGCTGGCTCTGTTGGGGAGGCCATATTGAAACGGAATAAAAAAACGGAGTCAGCATAAAATAAAATTTTGGTAACTATGCTCAAATTTTAATCCTAACTACTGTGTTCTAGAATTTGGGAAGCCTTAAATACTCCAGAAATGTCATTCTTTTAATTTAATTTTTGGGAGAAACATCATTGTAAAAGTTTGCTCCTTTACTCTGGTTTCTGATGTTCTTTGCAAAAAAATGTGATATTTACTGTCAATTAATCTATAATTTGTCTAAAGTCTCCTCAAACATGAAAGTATTCGAATATATATGTAAACTAAAGATTAATAGCACCCTACAATTTTATTTTAAAAAAACAAAGGACACTATTAACATATAAAATAACTTTATAAACACATATGTACTTAATATTCAAGTTCTATATTGTAATTTTGTTAATCATAGTGCTAAATTTTAAAAAAGAAAACTTTAATGAAACCTTGTACTTCTTTGGTTGGACAGAAACATTTTAGTATTCTTAATCATAAGTAGTCAATTTATTTTTAGGGCAGTATATCTCAAATATCACTTAAAGATCTATATCAAATATCTCTTACAGATTGTTTTTGTTTAAACCATGTCAGCACCATTATTTAACATTTTTCTTTAAATTGTCTTGTTTTTCTTTTTTTTTTTTTTTACAAGTTCTAGCTTCTTCTTAAGTGACGGTATCCGTAAAATCATGGTTGTAGTTTGTTAGTGACATTTTAAACAATGTATATTTAACAGATAAATATTTATCTACTAAGAAAAATGTACATCTACATACTGATTGATATCATCTAGCTTATAAGCATTGTTCTAGGAGATAATTTATTTTATTACTTTATACTGATATATTTTTATAATATTAAATACATCTTATCTATATTATAATAATAAAGCTATAAAACTATATAATTATTATAAGATTGAGAATTGAATAGAGCTACCTCTTCCATCCACAGTGATACCTACTCCACTACTACAAAGACCGTGGAATTCAGCTGTAAGATAAAAACAAATAGAGAAATCAAAAACTCTAAACTATATCTGTTCCATACACAAGTCACTTACATAACTCCAAAACTATCATTAAGAATTACCTGCAACAACTTAAAATGAAAAGGACCATTTTCTAGCACAAAATTATTTTAAGAATCCCAAAATCACAGGTAAGCATAAAAAAGTAAATAAAAATAACTGTGATTATCACCCTGAATTTCATTAATATACTGATAAACATTACAAATATTTTCTACTTATGTAAACTTTAAAAAAATCTAAATTGTACAACAGAGACTGCTTTTTAGCTTTTCTTCTCCTCTCAATAATAAAATAATAGAAAACACTTATGTAATAAATAGCATTTACCACGTGATGTGCCTGGTGGTGTTCTAGCATTTTGCATCTAATAATTTATTTAATCCTCCCAATACCACAAACTAGATACTGTTATTTTTACTCCCAAGAGAGCCTGGATAGAGATGGGAAGTAACATGCTCAGGTCATAGAGTTTGTAAGTGGGGAGCAGGCGTGGACCCTCTGTACTCTACAATAGACATTTCATGTAATAGCCTATTTATAATAAGAGGATTTAACATCTTTTCTCAGTTATGCGGATCTACCACACTCACCCAATCAATCTCTTATTGATGAAATTAGGTTTGTTCAACTTTCTGCAATTATAATAAAAAAAATACAAAGTTCAATTCTATCACTAGGTTAATCTCTTGGAAGTAAAACTGCTCAAAGTTTATGTCTCTTTTAAGGTTTTGGATAGTCCCCCTCTCCCTAAACATCCCAGGTTACCCTTCTAACACCAATGTAAGAGAGTACCCATTTCTGTATATCCTCCCCAACACTGGGGAAAATCCATCATTTGTATTTTACCAACCTAATAAACAAAAATGACACCTTTTTAAACTTTTCTTCTAATTTTAGATAGATTTCTTTTCATTTTTATATGGCACTCTGCCATTTGCCTTTCTGCTTTGTGAAGTTCTGTCTGTGTACACTGTACTTTTTTCTATAGAGGATTTCAACTTTCCTTATTGATTAATGTAAATTCTTTATAAATTATAAAGAAATTAAATAAAATATTTTTCCACTTTATATGTGTATTTTATTCTTTGGGGTCTGTTTTGAGAGTCCTTTATCATTACCAGATAACAAAAAGTTTGTATCTTCTACAAAAAAATTATTCTGTAACATTTAATGTAGGGAGCTAACTCCATATTTTTTCCAATATTTATCAACAATATTAATTACTTAGTTTAATTTGTTCTTGCTGATCTCAATGCTATCTTTATTGTGTCCTATATTTCCACTTATATTCAGAACTCATTTTATTAGTCATTAATCTTTTTACCTAGTCTTGTTATCAGATTTTGCACTTCTTTCATAATATGCATAATTCACTTAACATTTTAGGGGAAGACTTCCTTCATTAACTCCTTTTTTTAAAAAATGGCATACTCAGTAATTCTTCCAGAGGGACTCTCACCATTTTGCTAAGGTTTGAACAGTCCATTTAGGATTTTTAACAGAATTACAAGCCACTTCCTTTGCTGGAATTCATTTCTTCCATCTTCTACCTGGGAAGTTCTTATTCCTTTTTTCAAGACCAAAGTAAGCCTCCACCCCTCTGTGCAGTCTTTCCCAGCCTCCCCAGGCAACTAACTGCTCCTTTGTGCTCTCCCAGTTATGTCCCTTTTAAGGCAGCAATCATACCAAACTGTAATTTATATGTTTGCCTACCTATATTTTCAACTATTCCTAACTTTAAAGGAAAAGAGATTGTGTTTATTTCTGATTCCCTACTGTACTTACATCTATTCAATACAGTTTTCATAAAAATATGAATAAACAATTCATAGAATAGTCAAAGAATTCAACTGTTTAATATGCCTATAATTTATGACAACATTCAGAAATAAATTTATGACTTTCTGGAACTACTGATAGATTCCTGATAGACTGGAACTTCTGATAGACTGCAGCCTAAGACCATTCTGTGTAAAGATTAAAAATAAATAAATAAAACCAGGTTCTCATGAACTTACTATAACCTTGAAAGTGATACGTAAATTTTATACTATTTATCTTCAGAATGACAGAAGGGATGGAAGATTTTGAGGCTAACATAGTCACGTAAAGAATCCATTGTAACAGTCATAATTGGATCATAAAATAAATAAATAATCATAAAATTCACCGTGTGTTCTCTCTGCCTAGAGATCATAAGTAAAAACAAGATAGATCTCTTTATTATATGCTTCACATATCAACACAGATTTGATTTCTTTTCTTCCATTAAAAATAAAGACAAAACACTTCAGAGCCGAGGTACTCCTTGGCCAAATATCTAATGTGACATTTCTAGATTCTTTATCAGGTGTGAAACTGGCGAAGGTGACTACCTGAATTTTTAGCAGGGCATGGCTGGCAGGGCTCTCCAAAACCATAGTCTGGATTGGCACAGCAGCATTCAGACTTGGTCACTGCACCAGGGAAAGGACGGACACACACTCCCTTCTTGATTCCACCATAGCATGTACTGCGCATGTGAGTATCTAAAGGAGACAGAAGAACAATGATTTGAGACAGTGATAGAGACAAAGAGATTTCAAAACTGAAGGCTTCTTGTAACTTAAGTGGTCACTGTATGGGAAGCTTCTAGAAGGCATCTGCCACTTTTTGTTTTCTTTGTATCTTTAGCATCTCATAGTATTAAGAAATCAACAAATGTTTGTTGAGAGAGGAAAAGAATAAATGCATTATCAACAATTCTTTTTCTTTTTCTCCAAGAAGTTTTATGTGCTACACAAGCATCAATTATCCCACTTTTCCTCATGGGCCCGTCATTGAGCCAGGTATATTTCCACAGTTATAAACAAGACTTAGAGCTCTAATCACTGACTACGTTTAATATTATTTCTATTTTAGAAGTTCTTATGAACAATGAAGTGCAGTGCAGTTAAACTACCTTGAGATGATACTGCTTGGTCATGTACTTTCTTACTTAAATTTCTGAGTTAGGTGACCTTTCTCTTCAACCCCCAATTTACTGTTGTGACTGTGTTTTAATCATTGCAGACTCTCAATAAATCCAGTTACACAAATAATATTCAATAACTATCACTATGTATCTGTGGCATTGTGCTTGTTGCTTTACAGACATTATCTTGTTGAACATTCAGGCCAACAACTCCATAGGATAGTGTCATTACCCACTTTTTATAGATGAGGAGGTTGAGGTTCAGAGCGGTCATATAAGTACCTCAGAGCTGTAGACTATCCACTGTCTGACCTGGGATTCAGACTCAGGCTTGTGTGACCTCCAAAACTTTTCCCCTTTCTACTATGACCTGTTACACACCAAAGAAGGGTATCCTGCTTAGTTCTCTCATTCTAAATTCTCATAAAATATAATACAACTTTATGAGATGGTAAATGGTGAACTATAAAAAAACTCAGATCATCATACAGGCCAGACAAGCAGTAGAGCTTTTAAGCAGTCTATTGATATGGCAATTCCATCAAAGAGATAACGATTATTATAAATATCTATAATTATTCATAACTTGTTGGAAATAACTTTATCTGCTTGTTATGCAGAGTGAGTCACCTATGTCTTACAATGTGGTGATGTTTCCCGTTAAAACACTGAGATGTATGGCTGCATTAAACAATGAGATCTGTGTATGCTCAGATAAAAGAAGGTCGTAAGATGTTACCACACCAACCCTGGGAAGGGGACATGCTGTCCCTTTCTGTTTCTGCTATGGCCTCGTTTGGCAGTCAGCTCTGAGTTTCACATAAGAATAGGACTCAACACAATGACAAATATTCACAAATACCACATAGTTCATGATTTTCAGTAAGATTTTTGTGAGTTCTTAGGATGGCACCACTTATCTCAAAAGGCATCATAGAATGGTCAAAGTTATTTCTGTTTTCATGTTGAGAACAGAAGCCAGGAAACATTTTTAGAAGCAAGTTGATAAAAAGCCTATGGTACTCACTTCTATTTTCAAAGACCCCACACTGGAACCTTAGTTCGCATTATTCTCTTCAATGTAACCAAGCCACTGTTCCCAGTGGACAGGATTAGAGGCACCGATACCAGCAGCACGATCAGAACATGCTCACATGAATATTTTGGTCGGTGATTGGACTTCATCCTAAGCTATACCTGTTCCACATGTTATCAAATTTCTCCATGTCTTTCCTTTCTTAAAAATTGGAATTGCTAAAGGATTTTTTCATGGAATTATCATACTTTATCTTTACCAAAGGTAAAATCGGTATGGACACAAGATGCTAGCTGTATTTTACATTCTTTAGTATCAACTTTTCCTTATAGCTTAAAGCAGCACCTCTAAGACTATTTTTGATGTAACATCACTATTCCAATTTAACAAAACAGTAATAATTGTAATAGTTAAGTTATTGGGCATGTTTTATGTGCCAGACATCTTTCAAGCTTTACACAAATACATCTAATGTTAACATATTTAATCTTCAAAAACAACTAGTGAGCAAAGGAGGCACAGAGAGGGAATGTATCTTGCCTAAGGCCTCATAGCTAGTAAATAGCAGAACTAGGGTAAAGAAAAAAGTTAACCTTTTACCTGACAGAACTGTCCAACAGTGTTCATGAAGATATTGAAATACTAACGTAACAGGCTGCTAAAAAGGAAATCTAAGCTGAAATCTCATGGTGCTAAATATCATATAACGAGGTGAATTTTGAGACTCCATCCTGAAGGAAGTAGAGATGGAAAATTGGTTGCCAGGTCCTTAAACCCCTCCCAATACCGAGGATACAATTTAGAGAACAGCAATTAAGAGAAGAGTTTTTGAGGAGGATTTTTTTGGAAGAGCCAGATTACAAGTTGGGCATGCTTCCATCCTCACCCCTGGTCAAGAGAGCAGAGCTTCGCAGGGAGCAACTTGAAGAGATTTGTACCCAACTCTGTCAGGGACACGTAGCACACAGAGGAGAGTGGCTGCTATTCCCACTGTAGAACCTCTGTTCACTCAGTTCAGAGGGCAAAGGGTGGCGCGTCCTATGGATGAGACATGGGCCACACTAAGAGAGGTTCCTAAAACGACTACGTGGAAGGTGATGAGACACCATTAGATCTCTGCCTGAAGTGGACTGCAGAAAGACAAGAGGTTGAGCCAGGAGTGGCCACCAGGAGAAAAATGCAGTGTCTGCAGGGGCAGGCCAACGCCCCTGACATAATCATGAAATCACCCACGAGGAAGAAATTGGCTTTAAACTCGTGTGGAGCCCAGAAGTCTTGAAGCCACCCTAGGACACTGTCACTGCCTCTGCCTTCTCACCTTTCCTCCCGCACTTGAGCCTGTGGAGTCAGAAATGTCTTCCTCACAAAGGTCTGAGCTTGGGAGGAAAGTCATAACTTCAAATCAAGTTCGAATATTAACTATTATATGATGCTGGACATTCTAATTGCTAAATTCAGATTATTTTCATTACCTAAAGTAGTCATATAAATTTCTGCTATCTAAAAATAGTAAAGTAAGGGGGTGCCTGAGTTTCCTTCCTTCCTTATTGGATAAACTGCTCCCATTGAATAATTAAAAATATATTTTTAAAGGATTGAAAAAAACAAAATACAGTTGCCTTTTGTTCATATCCTGCCTGTGAGTCATGCTTGTTCAACATACTAGTTACAATAGTAGTTTAATTTTCTGAAAATAAAAACCCACATCTCACTATCTAGGGAAACAAAAATGAACAAACAAAATCTAGAATTAAAGTGCTAACTCTAATAATAATTCATAGTAATGATTCATTTCTAACCTCAACAATCAATGCATCTGAAAGCATTTCAAAAGGCAGAAGACATGAAGAAAACATATCTAGCATGTTAAGGGAACAGTAATATATAATCTTACACACAGAACAAATAGTGCTTTTACTTTAAAAAGTTCAAGTAACCACAATTGTGGAAAACTGGAGAGAGTTTCCCAAAAATTTCTAATGCCTTTTCTGTATGTGGACAAGAGAAGGAATATTTGTGTTTGAACACTGAATTCCTAACAACTACTCATATGTCGGTTGCTTAAAAGAAAAATCATTTCTCCCTCTAAAACTGGTTTTGTACTCACCATAGGTTTCAGCAAAATCATTTAGATAAAGGAAAAAAGCAACTGAAAATATTTTAGCTCTCTAAGCAGCACGGAGCTACATTCTTCTAGTTACTGTATTTGAAATAGCCCTGAACGAAGTGCTGACAATCTTGTAAGATGAAATAAATCCTAGATTGGATAGAGTGGATGAAATTTTAAGTGGTCAGATTATTTCCATCTGCTGTTGCTTCTTTTTTTTTGTTAACCTTCAGAATCCAAATGTTTTGATTCCCATAGGTAAGAATAAAGTAAAACCAACTATGTCTGAGAAAGAATCTCATTTCTCTCAAATATACTTTTAAACCAGTGAGTGTGTCTGCCTTTTACTATGTGACCTGAAAACAGATGGTGCACAATGGTTAATTCACCCTAGAAGTTTCATGAAGGTGCTTTGGAGAGAATACGGCATTCAATGTATTTTTGCAACACACTCACTCTGCTCTTGCTATCATTAGGACACGTTGGTTGGGTTTTGAAATGCCAATGACATTTTCATTTTGCCTGCCTCTTTAAAGCTGATGCCTGGTAACTCAAAAGTATCCAAGAGGAATTCTGAATGGTTTCAAATAAAATATACATTCTCTCTCATACTCTTCCCAGGTTTCTATCATTAGTTACACAGTGATGAAGAATAACTATTTAGAAACATTTCTAGCTTTTGATATACGTCGAAGTTCTATTGTATAAATTATTTACATTTAAATTTTTGTCTGGGAAAAAAAGCAGACTCACAGATATAGAGAACAAACTAGTGGTTACGGGGGGACAGGGGGAGCGGGCTATATAGGGGTAGAGGAGTGGGAGCTACAAACTGTTGGGTGTAAGATAGGCTCAAGGATATATTGTACAACATGGGGAATGTAGCCAATATTTTGTAATAACTGTAAATGGAAACCTTTAAAATTGTATAAGGGCTTCCCTGGTGGCACAGTGGTTGAGAGTCCGCCTGCCAATGCAGGGGACGCGGGTTCGTGCCCCGGTCAGGGAAGATCCCACATGCCGCGGAGTGGCTGGGCCCGTGAGCCATGGCCGCTGAGCCTGTGTCCAGAGCCTGTCCTCCGCAACGGGAGAGGCCACAACAGTGAGAGGCCCGCATACCGCAAAAAAAATTTAAAAAAATTAAAAAATAAAAATAAAAATAAAAATAAAATAAAATAAAATTGTATAAAAATAAAATTTTAAAAAATTTTAAAAACTCATATGGAAAAAAAAAATAAATAGATGTTCTTGGGATAAAAACGAGTTTATTTAGATACAACTACAGTACCCATTTCAAGTCTTATTTGTTATTAATTATAAAATATAAATGCATTGTATTTAGAGATGTGGTTATCTAACACTATGAAGAATGCTGGTAAAGGACAATTTTTTTTTTCCTTCTCCAGCATTTCTGACTTGCATCTCATCAGAGGCTTCTGAAGGGAGCTAGCCGGGCTCTTTGTCCATTTTGTTTAAACAACTTTATTGATATATAATTCACATACAAAGAATTCACCCATTTAAAGTATACAATTCAATAGTTTTTAGCATATTCACAGAGTTGATCATCATCCTAGCTGATTTCAGAACATTTCACCAGCTCAGAAATGCCTTTGGTGATCACCCCCTTCTCCCACCACCCTCACCCTCTCTGCTCTAAGCAACCACTAATCTGCTCTGTCTCCACAGATTTGACCTTCACAAACATTTCATTTGGAGTCGTACACTATGTGGTCTTTTATGTGTGGCTTCTTTCACTTAGCGTAATGTTTTCAAGTTCATCCATGCTTTCGTATGTATCACTACTTCATTCCTTTTTATGGCTGAATATGATTCCATTGTATGGATATATCTTTATCCCTTTTTCAAAGATCATTTGGTCAGTGGGGCCATTACAGAATGTTTCACTTACCAACACACACGCGTCCGTCCACACCCACAGCCAGGCCTGGGGGACAGTCACAGCGGAAGGACCCTTCATTGTTGATGCAATGCCCATTCATGCAGATTCCTGGGGTCTGGCACTCATCAATATCTGCCCAGAAGGAAACACAAGCCGGGCCATTACTGGGTAAATTTAACTTTGCTACAGAGTTCACCTGTTGCCACCACTCTACATTATCAACATTTTGTTTTCAATTTTATAATTTGTGGAAGAACACACAGATGTGACAACAAATCTTATACACAAATGCAATTCTTTCAAACGTATTTTTCAGAAAGACTGAGTGAAAGTTGCCTCATTTTACTGCTCAGAAGAGTCTCACAAATTCATTTTTCATTATTTATTTGGCAATTCAGCTTAATATTAAAGATATTTAACTCAAATTAGTTAAGTGAAACAAATTCTTCAAACTGAGGTCAGTGTTTGTATTTAACTTTTAGTTACACACACATAAAATTCTAACTAAGATGCTGTTTCAATTTTAATTCATTAGTTCATAATAACAAAATAATTTGGGGTCTCCCTTGTAATTTTCACTTCAATTGCTTGAATTTATGAACTGTAACCCATTAAATGGTTTCCCCCAAAAGGGAAACAGCCTTCCAAACATGGGGCTGCCAAATCATGAGCATTTCAAAATTTATGGATTACAGCATTTGTAATTAAAAAATTAATAGAAAGTTCAATAAAGTAGGAACTGGTGAGATTTAGGTGATCTTTATATGTGTACTTAAGTTTCTTAAGAACTGCTAAAATGTTACATGCTGTAATGTCATGCTACACACTGGAACAGAATGCTAATCTCATACCCTGTGATTAATCCAAGTCAGCTAACCTTAAAATGACAACCCATGCATGAGTTCAATCAGCAAAGCTACAATATTTCTATCTAATACTGAACTCCCCTTTCCTGAATAGTCAAGAAACTACTTTTATAAAGAAATACAAGAATCAGTCTTGATTTCTCACTCTCTACTGTCTCCAGAATTTCACTGAAATTACAGGGATTGGTTATGAGTATTATTTGGTATTCAGATAAGTTTGTATAATTGAAGGCAGAAAGCATTCATGGAGTTAATCTGGTCTAAAAGAAGAAAACTGTAAATAACTTGTTTTTAAGTAAAACTGCAAAATTTGTTCCATCTTACTAAATTCCAATTGTGAGTATAAACATAATACAGTCTTATTTATTTCCAAGAGTTATATATTTTGCTTCCTAAAGTTATCGCTAAAGCTTGGCCTTCAAAAGGGTTTTATAAACAAAACAATTGCTAGGAATATTCAAATTACTTCTTCATGAAATCAATGTAAGAGTTTTAGGTAATGATATAGTAACAAATGATCCGTGGATTAGCTTATGGAAAAGATATAATGCAAAACCAGTAATGAATGACAGTGGAAAATCTAGTTCTGAGAACACAAGATTTTTTTCTTCCTCTTTTTTATTGAGGCAAAGAGTAGACAGAAATTATTTCTATATTGTCTTTTCCAGACTTGCTAGAACCAATCTGTCATTCCCTTAATTCTTCCTATGCCATTATTATTTTTGTAAAGATATTAGTGTTCCATAAACCACAATGTATGTTTTTCTAGGAAACTTCAGACACCTGCCGTACTGAATTAGCAAGAGATGTGAATAATACAAAATCCACATAAAGAAACTGAAGTAATTCTTGCATGATTGATTCAAATAAAAAAGATGGTTTCAATCATGGTTACTTTCCTATCTCAAAGCCATACATACCAGTGCAGTAACGCCCATTTGGAGCCAAGACAAATCCTGGTTTGCAGATGCACTTGAAGCTGCCATCTTCATTAATACACATCCCATTCAAACACATGTTGGTAGTTGTACATTCATCATGATCTGCAGAAGGAAAATGTGACTTATACCACTGGCCTTGAGGAAACCAGTTCCCCCTCTTTCTACAAACAATCACTAGTCATATTCTACTGCATAAATGAGCCATGTGGTCATGGATTTTTTTTCTTATGAATGCCAACTGACTGAGGGCAAATAGTGTAGAAAATGTGAAGGACTTTTAGTGTAAGGGATATAAAGAAAAAGAATTAAGGAACCTTTGTGCTTAGTTTCTATTAAAACCACACGAGTAGTGTTTTATTTTGATTACCAAAAAAGTTAATATGATTTCAGGGGATGTTTATATTGTATGAGAGAATAAAGCAATGACAACCTCACTGCAAGTGAAATGATCTGGACTTTCATTAGTTGGTGAAATACATGTTGCTGTGCAAATAGAATATTTCTGTGGAGTATTGATATTTACTACACTGTTAGACATCACCAGGACCAAAATTTAGAGGTTTGATTATCACATATGTCAAACATTTTTATGCTTCCCCAGATTGGAGGTGGGCCTTTTCTATTTTGTCAGTGTTATAACCCCGACATTCAAAATACAGTAGGTGCTAATAATTACAAAGAACAACTGCTACTTACAATTAAACATATGCCACACAGAAAATTTCCAGAAGTAGTAAATTATTCATTTGTTATGACATTTCCCAAAAACCTGTCCCTTCACTTTAATAGTCTTATGTTAAATGTATTTATATTTTACCTAAGTCATCTGAACAACTCTCACATATGTGTTGTGTGAGCTTTCATGAAAATAGTATATATAAATAAAAATGTATATCCTTTAAAAAATATTTTGCAAGGGAGCAGGCAATTTCCATACCAACACAGTTTTTTCCATCTGTAGTTAATTCAAAGCCAGCATTGCAAATGCACTGGAAACTTCCATCTGTGTTCACACATCGACCATTCTTACAAAGAACCCCATTCTGGATGCATTCATCAATGTCTGGGAAAATTAACAATAGCCAAATATTAGTCTTTTAAAATAATTATAGATAAAGACAATAAAACAATAAATGTAATTTTAAATATCTAGTTTATTTTTACATGTAATATTCAAGATCATGTTGCTCCTTCAGCAAAATTTTCATTTCTCACCAGCTTTTTTCTTGGATACATAGGTTTATGCAATTTTACAGCCCTCACTTATAATAGCTGAAGAGGGAAAGAAAGAGAAAAATGAAATGGATGTGCAGTGAATGTAGGAGAGGGTGGACAGTGCAGCTGGAATTACCGGTGCAGTTGCTTCTGACATAGTGGTTGAAGACCTAAAAGTCAGAGCAAGTGATATTGCTTATATGTGGAATCCAAAAAAATATCCCAAAATCCAAAAAAATATATGGCACAAATGAACTTATTTACAAAACAGAAACAGAGTCACAGTTGTAGAAAACAAACTGATGATTACCAAGGGGGAAAGCAGGGGGAGGGATCAATTGGGAGATTAGGATTGACATATACACGCTACTATATATACTACTGACATATACACACTAATATATATACACGCTACTATATATAGCGTGTATATATATACACGCTATATATATATATATATATATATATATACTATATATATATATATACTATATATATATATATATACTATATATAGTATATATATATATATATATACTACTATATATAAAATAGATAAGTAGTAAGAACCTACTGTATAGCACAGGGAACTCTACTCAATACTGTGTAATGACCTATATGGGAAAAGAATCTAAAAAAAGAGTGGATATATGTATATATATAACTGATTCACTTTGCTGTACAGCAGAAACTAACATAGCATTGTAAATCAACTATACTCCAATAAAAATTAATTTTTAAAAAAGTCAGCAAGGAGTTGAGTAAGAGTGAAGTAACTGCAGAATATCTGGATTAAGAGCTACATGACAAAAATTGCTGGTGCAGTGGTTGAGAGTCTGCCTGCTAATGCAGGGGACACAGGTTCGAGCCCTGGTCTGGGAGGATCCCACGTGCTGCGGAGCAACTGGGCCCGTGAGCCACAACTACTGAGCCTGCGCGTCTGGAGCCTGTGCTCCGCAACAACAGAGGCCGCGATAGTGAGAGGCCTGCACACCGCGATGAAGAGTGGCCCCCGCTTGCCACAACTAGAGAAAGCCCTCACACAGAAACAAAGACCCAACACAGCAAAAATAAATTAATTAATTAATAAGAACAAGTCACTGAGACCTGCAGTTTAAAAAAAAAAAAAAAATTGCTGGAATAAAGTGATTCAAGTAACCGCCAGGGGATGAATAGGAAATGAAAAAGAAGACAAGCAGAGTCATCTGCTAAAAGAATTCTGGGATGAATCAGTAGTGAGTGAGAGGTTTGGATGAGGATGGTAGGCATAGCAAGGAAACTGTGAATAAAGAGCAGCTTAGATTTGGTGTCCGACTATGTGTGAGGTTCAAAGAAACAGTAGTTGAAAACGACAATAAATCTTAAGCTCCGTTAATCAGAGAGCAGTAATGCTACTGATGTTACTTGCAGAAAGGAAGCTGTGATCTAGGGAAGGAAGAGAAACCGAATTTTTTTTGTGAAGCCAGATACCACATTGCCTGTGTTACACATGCAAAAAGTGTTTATGTTTGAAGAGAGCACTTTGAGGGTAGCATAAAGTAAATCTGTAATAATGTAACAGCATTTATTTCATTCCATGTCTTATTTTAATATTCACTTTTAACCCCAACAGCCTGGGTCACTATATTTCATGGAACATCATCATATGTGAAAGCAAACTGCCTTACCAATGCATGCTTGCTTGGTGGGAGTCCTCTGGAATCCAGCATGACATTTACAATAATAGGATCCAGGTGTGTTAACACAATCTCCATTAGTGCAGGGATTCGATGTGCATTCATCAACATCTGTGAGTAGCAAAAGAAACCATTATAGACTTCACTCCATTTCTAGAAATGTTTGTTTAAAGTACATTTAGGCCTCCCAAATTTGAGAGAAGGCCAGTCAGTGGTAATAGTCTAAATATCAGAGTATTTATAAATGAATAAAAATTCCTTTCTTCAACTACAGAGGCCAGTCTGGAGATTTACAAAAATAACACCTATTGGAGAGTACAAGGGAATTTGCTTTAATCAAGAAATAACAACTTTTCAATTTGAGTAATGCACAATGATTAAAACCATGGACTTGGGAAAGACACAGCCACGAGTTCCAATACGCTAGAAAATGCTTATTATCTAAGTAATCTGGGCAAGTTAATAAGCCTCTTTAAAGCTTAGTACAGAGTTAGAAGATAATTAAAGATTTTTAAAGATATATATTTATATTACATGTTGACACTACTACTAGTTTTAAAAAAGAGACAAATTATGGAATTTTTTGCTAATTATTTTTTGTGAACTCAACTATATATATGTAACTATGCATCAAGGCTTGGATAATATTTTGAAGTAAAAAACAAAGGATGGGGTAAAAAATGGAAATTAAGTAAAACAAAGTCTATTACATTCAGTAGCTTCTGGTTTCTTTAGGATCTTAAAATTGGCACAGGGATTTTTTTGTATGAAACCAAGTTTTATGCAAATACTAGTTCTGGTCCCAAATGTGAGAAACATCACTGCTTTCCTTCAGGTTCTCTAAGCCTTGATTAAATGCAAACCCATCACAGAATTCAAGGACTGCACAACCAAACAACTGACTAGACAGTGAAAATTAGTCAAATCCCAGAGAAATCAAGTTTGCCAGTGTTAGAAAAAGTTTAATTCATCTTCTTTCAGCAATGCCCACTAAATATTATTTTGAAGGCTGGAGAATTAAAAACCTGGCTGACTGGTTAGGCATAGTGACTTGCCATTTCATATACATGAGAAGCCATTAACATATACAATTTCAGCTAAATTGGAGAATACAACAATAAAGTCAATTCACAGGTTTACCATTTTAATAGACAGATTACTCCTTTCACAGATGTTCTTAAAAGAGGAACTGTACTCTATCAAACTCACCAGCTTCAGTGATAGATACACTCAGACTGAATGCAATTAAACCCTCTCTGGTAAAGGAGGAAAAAAAGAATCTCATAGCAAATAAAAACGACAAAGGAAAACAGGATTAAATACTTTTTCAATTCATCCAAAGATGCCTTCAGCCCATTAAGACTCATATTTACGCTTTTGGTTGATAAAATCAATTCACTGAGCCAAAGGAATGAAGCAATATGAGAAAAGACAGAGCTTAGAGCATTAGCAAGCATATCAAGCATAACTAATGGTCTGTCCAACTGGCAACATTACCTTCACTAGGCAATGCTGAAGATCCCTTAAATTCTCTGTGTACCCAACATCGAAATGCCACGATTAGAAAGGTGTCATAGATGTATCATTCTAGAAGCATCATTGTAAAGCTCTGTTCTAGTGAAGAACATGAGAGACTATGCACCCAACCCCCTCTTTTTAGGTAAACCTTCTGGGAAGCAGGGTCACTTTTCAGGACCTTTTCCTCCCCTTGAGAACCTGTTCCCAAGGTCCCTCATTGCTGTGACAGTTCTGCCAGTTATTTTGCCATTTACAGCCCTGATTCATTTCTGTTTCCTTAGCCCCTTAGGGACCTCACCAAGGTTACAGCAGACAGAGAAGATATAGTAGTTCACTTATTTATTTCTTCTTCGGAAGTGCAAACAATCACCAAAAACTATTAGTGACTTCACAATTCCATATGATTTTAAAATCCCATTTGTTTTTTTGTTTGTTTTGTTTCCCAGGATTATTTTAAGATTTTAAGTTTTAGGCTAATCACAAAAGACCACTGCCACATTCTGAAATGTATATTTCATGCTTTTCCTTTACTCTGAGTCTCAATGCCTATTACCTCCAAATGACCACCTTTGTTTTGCCTTGTATAGAGGAACAGAATTTAAATATTACAGTCTGTACACTTTGATTCTTTCCTCTGTTTTCACTGAGGACTGAATATTTTTAAGCAAAATTCATAAGGATTTTAAACTCCTAAAATAAATGAAGTAATTGAGAAACACTGATTATCAAAATGGTTAAATTCTCAGACACTACTGTGGTAAGAAATGTCTACCCTTGGAAAGTACTTTATATTCCAACTTAGAAAACACTTTTAATTTTCAAGGGCTGTAAGATTACCTTTGCTCAACAGAAACAAATTATTTCTTACTATTCCAAAATAGAATGATTTGAGTTAAAAACTCACCTGGGTGCTAACATGAACTAAATGGAGGTCTTTGGCTAATTTTTACAGAAAATATTAAGCTTATGGCCTATTTTTATTTGTTGGTTGATGAATCATGCAGTGATACATGAAGAGCAAATATTAATAGCAAAACAAAAATAGTCAATCAAATTTCAGTTTGATAGATTGTAACTGCTTACGTATGTGCAAGAGGGGATGTTTTGTATGTTGTATACTTATAATCATATTTTCTGGCAGTAAAATCATTCTTAAGTCATATAAGTAGAATAAATATATCAGTATGTCCTGGTGTTCCAAAAATAACCACGTGGTCGATCACTTAAACAAGCACCAAGTAGTATGTGCTAAGGCAGGACTGATGCATATGGTTATACCCTGCACAACCCTGGAGTGTGCTATTTACTTAGATTATGTGAATGGTACCCTCTACAGCTGGGCGGTGCAAAACCTGTGCACCTGTATATAGGGACCCTGGGCTAAGCTTTATTTAATCATTCTGATCTTGTGTCTCTGTACACAGTTTAGAATGATTGGTTTTTCCAAAGCACCATATTTGGCTTACATTTTTTTCATAGTCACAGTGCACTTAGATGTTTTCAATTTTACTTGGGAAAATTGTGATACTACCTGTCTCTGTTCCTGGCCTCTCATCTATATTTTATAACAGAAGACCTGAACCCAAATCTGGTATTTAGGGTTATGCTAATTACAAAACACATACATGATTATTTGCTAATAAGATGAATAAATAAAAGAATAACCTCAAAATGGTTCAATCCCCATGGTCCTAAAACTACGCTTAAAAGATCATCAAAACTCTCTTCATTGCCAAATACAATAGTGGTTTTGTCCTCACTGTATTTGATTTTTTTGCTGCACTTAACACTTGACACTCCTTTTCTCTTGAAAGCATACCATTTCAAGGCTTCAGTGCCATGTATTTTCAGATTATTTTGCCACCTCTCCAACATTATTACTAATGTTGCTGGTACCCAGGGTTCCAGCTGCACTACTCCTGTTATCTTTTTACTCTTCCTGCTGTTCAGCCTGGCTGACAATATTCACCCTCATGGTTCTAATAAACACCTCTATGTTACTGACTACTAAATCTCTAACTCTAGTCCTGAACACTCCTCTTAGCTTGAGACCTCTGTAATTAAGTACCAGAGACACCTAAAACTCAACATGCTCAAAAAGAGACTCATCAACCGCTTCCTCCCAATCTCCACCTTCTCTTGCATGTTAATGATGCCACCGTATATCCAGTGTTGTTCGGCGAAGAAGGAAGGAAAGGGGGAAGCAGAGACAGAAATCACAACATTTAGGACCAGAAAGGGAAGGGGAGTCTTGAAGTGGTCCAGCTCAGCAGTAGGTTAAGGGAGCACATGGAAGAGCATGCACACAGGAGAGCCCGTTTAGAAATTAGCTTTACTTCAAAAGACTTTTTAAAAATCATATTCAGCCCAACTTGTTCCTGTAGTCTAAAAGCTATTAGAAAACCAAGAATTAAAGAAGCATGAGCTTACCTATGCAATCCCCATTTGCATCCTGCTTGTAACCCATGTTGCATTCACATCGGTAGCTAGAAACAGTAGGTATGCAGCGTCCATTTAAACAGAGATTAGCATGGTGCTTACATATATCTATTGTCTGGTTCAGAATAGCTAAGGAAAATTAGAACACAAATGATATTTCATCATTTCAACATGGATTGCTTTTCTTAAAGTCGATTTTTAAGAGGATATTTAATAGTATATTATTTAGGTGTACATATCAACAGCCCACATTATTCTATACTTTATTAAAACTTTAATGTTGAGAATCTAAAAACTATTCTTGAGACACATGGTTGTAACTTGCACTTGTTAATATACATCTGGAAACTTTTCCCATAATGGTGTCTTTTTAAAATTTCAGGAATGTTCTACTGTACATTTGAATGCTTTCCATTTCTTTTTTTTTTTTGTAGTTGAATATTCAGATATAGTAAATAGGCAATATGCCAAAAAGAATAAACATAACACTGTAGGACATCATTAAATATTATTAGCAAGAGCAGTTATTTTAAAAAGAATGAACTTAAATGTCAAGCACACCAATGCCAATTCTGGCAGTTCTCAATTTCTTAAGTTATTCAACAAAAAAGGGCGAAGAAAAGAAAGATATTTCATTATAATATTTGTATAGGCACAGAGCAAGATTTATTCAGTTTATCTCAGTTGAGAAATGGTTCTGGAAAACAATTCAAAGGTTGTATGATCAGGGCAGCTGCAAGCAGCCAAATGAAATACACTGGAACCGAAAAACGTGATCTTTAATGGTGTCATCTGGACTTGGAATATTACCACGCTCTCATCTCTATTTTCAAAGAGAACCTGGGTCACTCATTCTTTTCTCCGATTTAGGAAGTTTATGGAGCATAAAAATAATACTTTCCTAAGATTCTGTTTTAATATATTACGTTTTAGACCTTGAAATAAGTTTCTGCACACACACACAGACACAAACACACTCTGGAAAAAAAAGTGAGATATTATAAAATTATTTAAGGTGGAAAACCAAAGAGTCTACGCACAAAGTGAACACTCACTTAGTCCAGTGATGATGGGCCCCTGTCCCCCGGCCCCTACACCGGCTCCCCCAACGCCAGGAGAAAAGCCATTGCCTCCAGGAATGGGAATGAAGCCTGTCCCTCCTGGGCCATAGCCATTGCCATTGCCACTTGGAGCAAAGCCACTCCCCCCAGTGCCTCCAGGTCTGGAACCAGCACTCCCTGGAATCCCTCCTATTGGAAGTCCATCCATGCAAAGTCTGCGATATTCCTCTAAAAGAGAAGAAAGTTCAGTTAACCACAAATGAATGGATTTCTGCATAATAAAGGCAATTTGTGTACTGTAATAATCGTTTTAGGTTATCCTCACTTGATGATATGAATAAGTAAGTTATTATCTTAATAAACATTTTCAATGCTAGCAGTGGCAGAAAAAGATACAGATGTTTCAGAAAAAATTAAAATATGTATACCATATTTTAACTGAGTTGCATAACTAAACAATTATCTACACATTTTGATTTTATGTCCCTAAGTGCAACTCATAAAATTCCAGATATAACTGTAAATGCAAGAAATTTACTTGAATGGATGAAAATTAAACCTTTAAGTAATTCATTCTGTATGTTTGGTTTTACTTAAATCTCCATCAGTATTGTACCTACACATTTTTCCTACCTCTTCTCTTCTCTTTAAGGGATTAATATGGCTTCAGAATAATTTTTTTCTAATGTGGATTTTTAACAGAAGACAGTATTTAGTAAACTTTTAAATCTGCTCATTATCTGTCCAAGTATCAAAGCTGAGGGAAAAGAAGCAAGAATATAGTGATTACCTTATTTCCTTAACTGTTCTCAGAATTAGGGCACTATATAAGAAGAAGTGAAGACTATTTAGCTCAAGCAATTGTTTGAGTATTCACATTACTATCATATACTACTAGTGGAACGATGAGTTTCCAAAATTATATACTATGCATTAACTCTGCTTTGTAAAAATTTTTACTATTCGATTTTGGAATTTCATGGCTTAGAGATTTAGGAAGAATGTGCCTTAATTTTTTTCTCCATAATAGTACATATAGATACATATCTTTATAAACATATTTCAAAAAGTGTTATTATTTTTCATAGTATTTATAATATAACATGAAGATAATACAATAACGTATTACCAACATACCTTTACGTGATAAACACTAATTGTACTTTACTATGCATATTATATTAACAAGAGGAACTATTTCTCATTCATCTTAATTTCCCAGTATAGCTTCAGGTATACAGCAGTTAATATAGCAAAGTGAATGAGAGGTATCCTCCTACCCTTGTATTCTTAATTTTTAAGGTCATTAGAAAAGAGAGGACATATCTTTAAGGACTGGGACACTATAAGCTAAGGGCATTCTTGAAATAAAGTATAAATGAAGGCCAAAATTTGTTATTCAAGCTTCAAATAGAAGATTAGGAGGTTTTAAAACTGAACTGAAATACTGACATTCCAGATAATTATTAAAAATTCTTGCTTAAAGTCAAGTAATGATCAGTTTTTAGGAGTTTTTCTAATATTAACAAAATGGATATAATAAAAACTGATCCCAATGACCAATGCCACCCTAACTCTCACAAAAAACACCCAAGTCATATTGAAGACACTAACAGGAATGCAAACATGACTTGTCTTTAAGGGAAACACTAAAGTACATTATTGTTACTAATTTTCCTAACACTGTCAGTCCTGAGGAACTAGCAGCCAGCAGCTCACCAGAGCCTCTGATGGGACAGGCTTCAGGAATGGTTCCAACACCCCAGCAGCGGCCGGGCTCACAGCAGCACTGCATTTTTGTCATTCTGCCCGGAAGCTCTTGTGCACAGCGACCATTCACCAGGCCGGAGAAACATGTGCCTGTTCTCTGATCTGAACATATGAAAATAAAATAGAAGACATGACAGAATTACCTGGAGTTCACATCAATTATTTCACATGTTAGGAGATGCTAAGCGAAGGGAATTATTTTACTTAATTTCTACTATATCTACTCCTTTGTTTAATTTCTATCACATTTATTCATTCCTTTACTTATTTACCAAGCAAATATTCACTGAGCACCTATGCCATGCCATATCCCAGGCATACAAAAATGAAGACATGAAGCAGATATGAGCCAACACTGCAGTGAGAAGCCACACCCAGACAGACCCAGAGCTTGAAGGGAAGCGACAACCCAGTCTCAGCCGAGACTGGTCAATTAGTCACCCAGCCAACCTGCAGACATGTACTGTTGTTCCCTACTGAGAGTTTTGTGGTTATTTGTTACCCAGTAATATCCACCTGATGCAGGTGCTATTTTAGAAAGGTTGAGCAGAACAGCTCCTTTGAGACAGTGACATCCGAGAAGAGACTTTAATAAGATGAGAGCAGGAGCCACACAGTTACCTGAAAGAAGGGCAGTTCAAAGAGAAAGAAGGAGATGTGCTTGACATATGTGAAAAACTACGAACCGTTGTGACTGCAGAACAGCAGGCAGAGTGGGGGTGGAAGACCCTGAGCTCACAGGCGTACAGAAGGCAAGAGCACGCACAGCCCTACAGACCGTGAGGGAAGGACTGTCGGATTTTATTCAGAGAGTCAAAAAAATGTAAGTCTACTTTCACTATATATTGTTTAACTTTTATCCAGATGCTTCCAAGAAGTTTTGTCTGTGACAGGAAGAAAGATGTACCACAACAAACAGGAGCTGCATGTCACTAATGAAGATGAAACCATTAATTACAAATAATGCTATTAATAGGGAAGGCCTAAATTTTTTACACTAGGTATTGAGTTTAAAATAAATATATTATTTCCTTGAATGGTCCAAAGTATACCTCAGGTTGCTTCTATGCTATTCTTAAATTAAAGAATTGGTTTGAAGGTACTCCATGTAAGAATCAGAATGCCTTCCATTTCCCAAAAGAAACCCAGTATGCCCAAGAGCAAAGTACTAAATGTGATGTATGCGTGCATACTTAAAGGCACTGCAGACCTTTCATAAACGTTACAAGCTGGGCCTGGATAGGCTGTCACTGGGAATAATTTCACAGAGAGGTTTCTACTCCCAAGAATGATCCAGGAAAATAGTTTTTAGGATATTCATTCCAGGAACCCAAAGTATCATATTCCTAGATTTACTTGATTGCTACACTCCTCAAGAATAGGATGTAAATTAAGATAAGAAAGTCCTAAGCTCTTTACAGTAATCACTGTTACAAAACACATTCAGGGCTACATGGTAGATTGACTGTATTGATCTCTTCAAGGCTCTGTAAGGAGGAGGCTGTACCATAAGATTTGGGGGAAAAAAAAAAAAAGAAGAGTCATGGCTTTGAGTCAGGATACCTAGGTTTACATCAAAATATTATTACTGTTGATTCTGTAACATATCTTTTCTTCTTTATGGAACAGGGCTGATGGGAGAATTAAATAAAACAATATATGTTCTGTTTCCAGCAGAATGGTGTATTAGCTACCCTGAGTGTCTCTCCCAACTGAAACACCCTGGATAAAATATGAGAAATTATTTTAAAGTATACATCATCTTGCTGACATCAAAGAAGGAAAAAAACAGAGTCTCAAAATGAAGTGAAAACAGGAATCTCAGGAGGTAAGCGCACACCTAGCTTTCACTTTAGGGTTTCTGCAAAACTCTGGAGATTTTGACTTTCAACTCTGATAATTTCACAAGGGGTTATTAGAGCCTAAGATATAAAAGCCCAGATTCACCTCGTTAATGCAAAATGTAATAGGAAACTCCCTCATAAAGTAGGAGTCCCAAACTCTATCCTTGTTATGTGGCTAATGTAGAGGAAGGCAGCTAAGAGACTTGCCTGTTTATACCTCAGTGCTGGGTGGAGGAAAAAAAGATTCTTCCTAAAAATCTGAAACCAAAGCTCTTTTTCACACAGACAGCTTTGATGTCAAAACATTACGTTTGTGTTCTGAAAAACTTCAAAGGAAGAACATAACATAAAGAGGTCTCCAGGTAGGGATATTCCAAGTAACTCGCAAAAATCAATACAATTGAGGACTTAATACTGACATAGGTCTCAAAGAATTCCCATAGATAAAGTTCTAGGAGAAAAGGAGTAGCTAACAGTAAAGTAACTAAATAAGTAAGTAAATAAGTAACACACAGAGAAACAAGGCTCAATGAACAAAAACTAGCTGAATAAACAGCAGGTTTCAGACACTGGAATGGTCAAACCAATTCTGAAAATCATTGTTTTTAATTAATGATGATTCGTTAAATATTAATTAATAATGAAATAATCTTTAATCTGTTTAAGGCAATTAAAAATCTAAAAATGGGAACAGTAAAAACAAGCCCATAAACAATGAAAGAAAAGATGTAAAAGGCTTCAATGAAACTTCTATAAATGGAATGATCATAACTGAAATAAAATGCTTAGTGACTATATTAAGCAGTGTATTGCACATAGATGAAAAAGAATTACTGAGCAGGAAGATATAGCTGAATATATTATTTGTGTTGTTCAGAGAGTCAAAGAGATGGAAAATGTTGAGAAGAGGTTAAGAAGTATGCAGGTGAGGGTGAAAAGGTAATCTGCCTCTAATAAGAGTACTAGAAAGTGTCATAAGCAGACAGTTGTGGGGAGGCAATAGTCAACAGATACTTGTTTACAACTTTCTAATGATGTTGCAAGACAACCTCAGATCTAGGAAGTCCAATAAATCCAAAGTAGGAAAAATAAAAAGAAATCCACAGCTATCCATATCACTGTGAAACTGCAGAACAACAAAGAAAAGGTGAAGATCTTAAAAACAGCTAGGAAGAAAAGACAGATTATCGGCTAAGGAATGATATTTAAGTCAATCACCGACTTCTTAATAGCACCAGTGGATGCTAGAACACAATGGAACAGTATCTTCTGTATGCTGTGATAAAATAACTGTCAACCTAAAATTCTGTATCCCAAGAAACCAAAGGGAAATTAAGTTCATTTTCAGGAAACCACAAACAGAGACAATTTTCTACCAAAACGTTCTTGCTAAAAGAAATTTTAGAAGAGGTGTTTTAGGTAAAAAGGAAAATAATTCCAATGGAAGGTTTGAAATGTATGAAGGAATAAAGAGGGAAAATATTGTTAGATACATGGACAAGTACTAAAATATCAAACAATAATAATAATGATTAATTTGTTGCAAACAGGGAGTGACAATCGACTAGAATTTTTTAAATTGGAAGGGGGTGATCAAAGTGTTACCATTCTAATATTCTTTTATTATTTAGATGTGGGTAAAAATACAGATTAATTCTAGGCTTTAAGTTACATATGCATCTTCAAACAGCTAGGATAACCACTAAAACCACAGAAATAAACTACGTATTTCTAAACAATAGAGGAAAAAGAATGGGGTGTGGAAGAATGGAAGGCAGGAAGCCTGAATAAATCCAAAAGAAAGCAAGAAAGAGAAAGTAACAAAAAAGCAAGATAAATGGGAAGCAAAAAAGAAGATAATAGAAATAAAAACAAATATATCAGTTACTCTAATAAACACAAATGAATTTCAATCTCAATTTAAAAGACAAAGATTTTAAGACTATGTCCCCCAAAATTTAGATTTTGGCTGTTTAAAGAAGCACATTTAAGACAAAAGGAAACAAAAGATTGAGAGGGAACATATCCAAATGGCATATATTTAAACCTTCCTCTCCAACTCACAAAATGTGATGCCAAATAACATGAAATAAAATGAACCAAGAGAAAATATTTAGAAACAGACCAAGAAGAAAAGAAAAAAAACTTTAGAGAATCAATATATATCAAAAACTGGTTCAATTCACCAGGAAAATATAATACTTTTAAACATTCATCACCTTATAACATAGCATCAAAATACATAAAACAAAAGCTTAAAGGGTCACATGGAGAAACTGAGAAATCTACTACCAAGGTGGAACATTTATACAACTCTTTCAGTAACTGATAGACACAGTAGATAAAATCTAGCAGCTCAAGAGAAAATTTGAACAATACAGTTAATAAGTCTGATCTCATATCTATCCAACAACTGGAGAAAACACAAAACTTTTTCAAGCCAACATGGAAGATTTGCAAACCAGGTAAACTCCTTACACTTCTAAACAACTCATGTGTCAAATACATAAGGTAATATGTAAAAAATATGTGTCAAATACATAAGGTAATATGTAAAAAAATGAGTAGGGGCTCATCAGGATCTGTACCAGTCTCAGATTTTGGGAGTCTGCAATGTTATTGTGAGGGCTCCACAAATTTATACTTACACTGAACACTGCAATGCAAATGAAAATGCCTCATAATATACAGGCACTACTATGGTTCCTACTGATGGAGATTCCATGGTGACTAATAAAATACAAATTCATTTAAAATTATTACTGAACATCCAGTAGTTTTTTTTTCATTATGTATTTTCTCAAAGATATTGGGTTACCATCATGTGTGGATCTGAAAACATTTTTGATATTAAAGAGGGGGTCTTCAAATTCAATAAATATAATTAACTTCTGTCCTACACAGTTTGGAAACCTCTACTCAGTCTTATAAGATGTGTTGGAGGAAACCATGTCATTCTTGAGAAGGTGGAGGGGCAGAAATAGAAGATTGGGAAGTAAATCATAACTTTTTTCCATAAATTCTATAATTAGTCTCTTCTAATAACATCAAGGAGGTAAACAATCTACTTCCAATCCTTTGCATCAAAGACATATCAGGATGAGATACAGACACATGTAGTGTGATGACTCACAATTAAGGTCTCTCCACAAATACATTTCAAAAGGAAGACAGTGGCTGAGTTAGGTTCTTTCCTTTGCATATCTGAATTGCATGGTGCTTAGAAAGTAGAGTGTTGGAAATGTGCCATATGGAAGA